TTACTCAGAACAGTCAGTTATTCTTGTATCCATTGTACTGTTACCTGACGCAGATTCCTGGTTACTTTCACATCATGCCAGGCATTGTCATTAAATTTCCCATTCACAGGTTCCACCAGTGCTTCAAAGGCTCCTGAGCCCAAATTAATGACCAAGGAGACAGCTCCGTTTTTCAGTGCAAGATTGACATAATCAGCCGATTTTCCTGTGTGAAGCATCAGTCCGTTCCTCTGAAGAGTTTTAAATGACAGAGTTATTTCATCACTGCTACTCTGTATGGGGTTCTGAGATAAATCATAGCAGAAGTATTCTGATCCCTTGAATGTTGCAATATATTCTTCTTTTCCTGACAAAGAAAATCAGAGAAACAAAGAAGTCAGCCAGTAGCATGTAATTAAAAACATTATTTTCATAGTTAATTCAACAGTATTACTATAAGTACTATATAAAAAAAAAAAAGTAATTTATTTAAAACACTTAAAAGCCATGGGGGAAAGAAAAAAAGAAGATAACTGCAAGATTTACTGTGAACACATTTTAAACTATTTTCTTAAAGAATTATCATGGGTATGATTAAACTCAAAAAATATACTGCATCAGCAATCACGTTAATGTTATTGAATCAATCTGTTCTAGAACTCATCTAAGCACATAACATTTAGCAGAATGTGCAAACCAAAGCATTATTCCAGTCAAAATCCAGATCTTTTCAAACTGAATTCTCACTAAAATCATGGCATTTCAAAAAGAATCAATAACCTTGATATCTCAAAGGGCTTTGATGTAAGGGCGTGAATAAACCAAAACTACAAACCACTCATTTAAGAATTATCTCATTCAAACCTTCACATAACACCATGATGGAGAGCAAGTTAACATACATCAGCAAACAAGTATTTTTTTTTTCCCCCCAAGGTGTACTTTTATTAGCCAGTATGTCCCATACAGGGTATTTTCTTAGTTTATGCTGAAGATGACTAAGAAACACACGTAGCAGGAGCTAAGCCTTCAGTCTCATCAGAAAAGCAAGTCTAACATATACAGAGGTTGTTTTCCCCAAAGTCCTACAGATGAACACGTACACTGACCTTACACTACACATGTACAGGGTTTAGAGCTACATGAAGTCAGGATTTATTTGTTTAGCTAATAATAAGCACTAGTAAAATTTCAGTGGAAGCCTGTATGTTTTGGTGCAGGGTAAAGATGAAGCTATGAAAACCTGAGGAAGTAAATGACATCATTTTTGAGAATAAATGCAAGTCTCCTGAGCTCTGCCTTCATTAATTTATAAAATCAGCACGTAACCCAAATGTAGATATCAATACATAGAAAAAGGAAATAAATAGTGTGAATTTAAGAAACCAGTGAATGATCAAGTGTGCACACAAGCAGGTGTAAGGAGGCTTTTTATGAATAGTGCTTGAGCATGTCTGTCTTCTGTTGTCCCATGCCATTTGCTTACAAGCCCCTAGAGTAAACTATACATAAACACTTACGCTAGGTATTTACAATGCTTCTCTTTAGATAGTAGAGCAAAGTAAGTTCAGAGAGTACTTCAAAGTAACTACTGGTAGGACTCCAGGTAGCAATTGCATTTTGGCTTAACTTTGCTTTGTAATAAGAATATTAAAAAATATTGGTCTGTATTCATAATTTTTAAGTGCTATCTCAAAGATATGATGAAGAATTCCTTGCCTTTTTTTTTTTTTTTTTTTTTTTTTGGGGCACAACCAAAAACACCCAGGTTTTTAAAAAAAAAAAAAACCCAACAAACAACCCACCCATACACAAAGCAACTATTTATCTAATATGGTCTGTATACAGCCCAAAGCATGCTTCAACAGTATCTTGCCCCAAATGAAAGAAAACTAAGTTTGTAACAGGAAATTCACCACTGGGTTTCACAGTTTAAGCTTATTTTGTAAATAATACTTTAAAAAAAAAAAAAATCACCTCTCTGAGTACCCTTAAGGATCTTTTTCCCTGCTATCTGTTGAAAACATCTCTCAAAACACAGACAAACCCAAACAAAAATTCCCAGTCTCCAGTTTCAGATGAAGCAAACGTTCCTCTGTTGCAGCAAACAGCCGATCACACAGAGCACAGAGATTGCTTCCTCTATTGACCATTCATCATACACAACAAATATGCAGTAGGATTTGGGTATCATCATCATGAGCTACATCCTAAGCAGGGTTCTACAGAGTAGTAATGTCTAGACAGCTGGCACCTCCATGGACAAACTCAATCACTTTTCTGAGGAAGAATTCCTAAGTAGATAATCAGGCTTACAAGTGGTTGCATGGTGAGCAAAAGCTCCAACATAACTAGTGCCTCACCCTCCCCATTTCAGGAGAAGAAAAGTCTTGAGATTTAATTTTTTTTAAACATGAAATTCCATTCTGGATGAAAAAAATTACAATCTTAGTGTTGTCATGATTGATGTTTACTCTGGAGAGAAAAGCAGTTAAAAATGAAGTCTGGTATTTTATCACCAGATCAATTCTATCCAGCATAAGTATTTGAAACCTAGGACAGATTTTACCCTTTGTTGAGCTTCACTGAGGTACAAACTAGATTCTCTGTGCACAACTGAAGCCAAAAACTAGCCTTTTCCATCTGTTCAAAATTCTTTTTTTACCTTTGACATTATCAATAGGAAAGCATGAAAACGTTTATCCTGTTTACAACCCTTCCTAGTCTATCCAGAACTGCAGGTCAAGAGATGCTGCAGCTTGCATTAAGGACACACAGGAATTGCTGTTCCCATTCTCCAGGTCTTAAACCTTCCAAATCAGTCCTGCATGCTGAACAGCACTACATTAACAGCAACGTGTCCTGGTCCTTGACATATTTTGATAGAGTACAAAAACCTTGACTCATTCAGCATAAAAAATTTACAAGAAAAAAAAGCGCGCATTTTCTGGGGTTTCAATGCACTAAAGCAGCAGATTGCATGAACACCATGCACCTCATTTAATAAATATTTAATAAAAGTATAAAATGGTCAAACCCAAATTTATTTGGTATGCACTCTTACTGCAAACACATATTAAACCAACATAAATAACTGCAATGGGCAGATTATAAAACTTAAATGCAATAACTTGGTGCATGTAGTTTTAGTCCACGTATTTAATGACTGTAACACAAAAAGTTGAAGGAAATAAATGAATCAACATGCAAAATATTTATGCATACATATTATGCACTGTAAACTACTTCTTTAAAGCCACATCATTTGCACAGACAGGAAAATGTATGGGAGTGTAAATGCATGCCAGGCACATATTGTTTTCAAATTATTCCTAAATAAGGGCCTGGAAAAGCAACCAGGAGTACTCATTCAGGTAAAATTATAACCTCAGACTGTAAATAGAACCGTTAGGGTTGTGATGGGTTGATCTTGGCCAGTTGCCAGATGCCCACACAGTTACTCTCTCTCACTCCCCATCCTCAAAAGGACATGGGAAGAAAATAAGATAAGAAAGCTCCCCAGTCAAGATACAGACAAAGAAGTCTCCTACTAATTCCTATCACAAGCAAAAGAGTCAACTTGGGGAAAACTAAATTATTGCCATTTAAAGAGTTTAGCATGGTGTGAAGCCCAATTTAAGACACTTTCCTGCCCCTGCCTTTACCCCAGGCTCAGCTGCATTCCTATCACTCTTTCATTTCCAACTTCTCTACCTCTCCCCACAGTTCCCTGAGAGCAGCTGCAGTCATAACAGCTCTTCCCTACTGCCCCTTCCTCCTCAGTCTTTTTCTTCTGGTCCCATGTGTGTCCTTCCCAATGGCTGTAGTCCTTCAGGATGCACCTGCTCCTGTGTAGGTCAGAGATCCTTTAGGAAATCAGCTGCTCCCATGCGGAGTCCTCCATGGGCTGTGGTGTGGACACTACTCCTCCATAGTTTCCTCTCCACATGCTGCACTGGTGCCTGCAGCACCTCTTCCCATTTCTCCTCTCACCATAGTGCTCACAGGTCTGTTTGTCACACTTTTCCCCTCCCTCCTCACTGCTCTTTTACACTTTCTCACACACACTTTCTCAGCAACACCCCTCTCCTGTCCGAAGGGCTCAACTCTGCCCTACAGCGAGTCTCGTGGAACTGGCTGTGTGCAGCACAGGGCAGCCAGGCTCTCCTCACAGACACTGACCCTCCAGCCCCCTGGCTCCCAGTACCTTACCACAAACAGACAGTATTTTAAAGGCTAACATCTCTGTGTCTGTCAGTCCATTAAAGTAACCAAGACTGAAGCTTTTTGACTTAACTGCATTTTCCTATTGGATGGCTCTTTGGGAAAAAAAGTAACAGCAAAGTGAACCTGCAGCATCACCTTTAACAAATACTACATGCCCTGCAGCGTTCAGGTTTAGTGATCTTCACATAAGGTACCTAGCTAGGTGTTAGATAAAGCAGTATTTTTTCCCTCCACATTAATGTGCACGTGACCTGCTCAAAATCAAATCGCATATGAAGCTTGGCACAACTGTCTGTGGGGAGAGATCCCATTTGGGGCATTTCTGGAAGGAATTCATGAATCCGGTGTTCAATTTAATCACTAATTACATCAACAAAATTCTACAGGAAGTTTGAATCTGAACTTTTGGGAGCTGATTTTTTTAAGTTATGCCGAATCATTAAATTTTTAAACAAATTACTTAGCTTGCATCAAACTAGCATTATTTTTTTTTTTTAAAAAAAAATGACTTTAATCTGAGAAAGAGAAGCCAAAACTGAGCATACCATTTTATTTTAGAAAAATATTTTGATTTTTAAATCCGAACAGGGTGAAAAACAACCCTTTAGTTTCATACCTTTCCTGCCAAACTAACTTTTTGGCTCACCTGCCAAAAAGAAAATGCCCATTATTTGCTTTTCTGCACTGTAGAACTGAGTTTCATGCACACAGCCTTCAGAATTGATTGCAATACTATTTTACAGACCCTGATTGCAATGGCATTGCACTGCAGATTGGTACCAGGACTCCATTAAGGTAACATACCGATGCATTAAACTGCTGACCTTTGTGATGCAGGTCACATCCATACTTCAGTTCACTGGGAGAGCTTCTGATCTGACAAGAGTACACTCATGGGCTGCAGAGGCAGGAGATGAAGTCTCCCCCTTTGTGGGATTCAAGACATCACCTACCAAACTTCCAGTTGTGCAGCTATGGGCATCCTGACTGAATAGCATAATTCCTGATCTAGATTGGCTCCATTTCATCCACTTCCTTTGCCATTTAATGTTTAGTAATTAGGGGTCCCTAAAAGGCTGCTGGAAGGTCAGCTCACAAAGGAGCACAAGGACAACCAGGAACTCAGATGTCATGACTTGTGA